AAGGAAGAGGAGAAGGGAGATATGTTTCTATCTGCTGCTGCTGCTGCTGCTGCTGCTGCTGCTGTTGCTGCTGCAGCTGCTGCAGCAGCAGCAGCTGCTCGTAGCAGCAATAAGCAGATATGCTGCAGCAAGCAGCAGCAGCTTCCGCCTCAGCTAGAGCTGTCCATACAGCCCAAGGATCTTCTTCTTGTGTACACCCCTCTGCTGCTGCTGCTGCTGCTGCTGCTGCTGTCATGCTGCTGCTGCTGCTGCTGCTGCTGCTGCTGCTGCTGTCTGCATGCATGCAGCCCCACTCATCTGTCTCCAGCTGTGTTAGAGGCAGCAGGGGGTCTGCCATAGCAGCAAAGACATCAACAAAGGGGCGGTCTAGCAGCAAGCAACGAAATAAACCCTGCTGCTGCTGCTGCTGCTGCTGCTGCTGCTGTTGCTGCTGCTGCTGTTGCTGTTGCTGTTGGTCGTGCTGCTGTTGGTGGTGGTGGTGCTGCTGTTGCTGCTGCTCATCATGATAATGCAGATGGTTCTGCTGCTGCTGTGGCTCCTGTTCCTCCTGCTGCTGCTGCTGCGCCTGCTGCTGCTGCTGCTGCTGCTGCTGCTGCTGGTGTTTGGGGGTGAACATGCGTGCAGTGGGTGTGGTTGCTAGCAGCAGCGCAGCAGCAGCAGCAGCAACAGCCCCTGCTGAGGCAGCAGCAAGAGCAGTATTATGTGGATTACTGAATCCTAGTGCATGCAGTGCAGCAGCAGCAGCAGCAACATCTGCTGCTGTCTGCTGCTTCTTGCTGCTCCTGCCTGCTGCTGCCTCTTCTCCTTCTGCGTCGCCACCCCCCCGTGCATGTATAAACCCTAAACCCCAACCCTGCTGCAGCAGCAGAGCAGCAGCAGCGTCAAATGCTGCAGCAAGAGGCTCCTTATAAGCCCCATATGCATGCAGCAGCAAACGAATACCACCTGCTGCTGCTGCACCAATGGACCACGGAGACTGCAGCAGCAAAGGAGAACTCGCAGGAATATATAACATATTGCTGCTGCTCCTGCTGCTGCTGCTGTCGCTGCTGCTGCTGCTGCTGTTGCTGCTATTGTAGTTGCTGCTGCTGCTGCTGCTGCTTATGCTGCTGCTGCTGCTGCATGATAAAAAATCAGAGGCAATAGAGCAGTCTATCTTGCTGCCGTTGCTCTGCATTCCCCCCACCATCTGCTGCTGCTGCTGCTGCTGCTGCAGCTGCTGCTGCTGCAGCTGCTGCTGCTGCTGCTGCTGCTTGAAGCAGCCCGCGAGTCGTTTCGGTAGT